CCACCCCCAAAAAAAAGAAAGAAACGGTGGCAGTCTGGAGGGCATTGGCGAGCCGAGTTCTACAGCGCCCCAGCGAATGCATTCCTATGCCCACCTGAGAGCAAAGGGAGTGGGAGCAGAAGGCCACGAGGCCTTGAGACCCAACCTCTACTTGGAGGTTCATGGTACTTATTCGCCAATCATAACAGAAGTACAGTGAGAATTGGTAAATAAGTACCATGAACCTCCAAGTACTGCGTGGTTAAAGAATGGTGTTGAAGGCAGAGGGAGACACGCTGAAAGTATCTACTTTCAGGCAGGAGATGGCCTGCGAGATCTTGCAGCCAAAGAGTCGTAATCACAGATTCCCCGGCTCTTTGCAATCCACAATAGGGGGGCTTCTGAAAATAGGTGTCCCTTTGAGGGGGGTTCTATTCTATTTTGAGCATAAACAGGGGTCCCCACAGCGAACTCTTGGACGCTTCCCTCCCCCTCGATACAAGGCGACGACGGCGCCCGAGCCCTGGCCGCCGCCCTGGCCCCGCTGAGGAGTGCTGAAGCTGATGCTGCAAAGGTTTAGGGTTTGGGGTTTAGGGTTTAGGGTTGAGCATTCAGGGTTTAGGGTGTAGGGTTAGGGTGGCCATTCTCAGGCCTATAGTATAGGATTGCGCATCGGTTGCGAGTCGGGACGTGGCCGAAATCAACCCCCGCCTGGCTGACAGCTAACCCAGTTCTCAAGTAATTGCCCAGAGCTTGTTCTTGTCGACCCGGCTCACTGAAACAGAAGCGAAGAGTGGTCCGAGCCCCATCTAGAGACTACACCCCAACATGTCCATGTACACCACAGGACCTGGAGCTGAACCTGAGGAGCAACGCGCTCGGTCTGGGGCCTGGAGGTGTGCATCCTGCTGCCTTCTTTCGTTGTTTGGTTCGCTTCGTCAACGCCACGCGCAAATCAGGAAGCGGCACTCAGTGGTATTCGCATGAGCGCATGTGTTTTGACTGGACGTGTCTTGGCTTTTCAGAAAACCGTGACGGCGGCATCTCCCGCAAGTCGGCGTGGTTTCTTTGAAGGTCTGTTTGCTGTTTACTTGAAACTGCTGCAAATGCCGAGCGGAGCATAACAGTGACGTCCTGTTCTTCCTGCTCAAGAATGTGGTTTCGCATTTGCCCCGCTTTGCTTGCTTCCCCAAGCCGCTTCGCCTCCGCGTGGGAGCAGCTGGTTTCGATGGCAACGCTGACGATGGGACATATTCATGACGTCATATGCATCACGATTGTGCCTTTTCACGTGATTCGGAGCCGTGCCTAGGTGAGGCCGTGGGGGCGCTGGGATCCCAGGAAAGGGCAAAGCAGCTGATGCTGAGAGTCACTTTTGGGGAGCGAGGTCTCAGCCCTGAAAACGCGTCTGTGTGCGCACTCTGTCGGCTCTAAAGAGCTAACGTCATGTAGGCAAACGATGGAGGTGAAGCCGGTGAAGCCACAGGTCAATGAGCGAAAAAGAGCAACCAAACGAGATGTTGACACAGTTATCAATAGTTGACACATGTGGAGATGGCCTTTGACATGCTCACCTTCACTGCAAGGCCACGAAGGTGCCCGTGCCGTGGCTGCAGCCCTGGCCACGCGGCGCCTCGAGGATCTGGCAAGTTACCGACTACCTGCCCAGAAAACTTCTTGGTAGCCCTGCTCCCCGAAGCTGGGGCTATCAGCTCCACGGCTCTAAGAATTGTCCGAAGCAGACGGGGTCCATGTTCCATCTACCGACCCCCCCGCCCCTCCCCGACATGTCCATGTGCTTCACAGGAGCTGGAGCTGCACATGGTTGGCAACAAGCTCGGCCTGGGGCCCTTCAGCGTGAGTGCTCGGAGGCGCTCGCACGAAACCCTACAGAAACGTAAACCGAGTATGCACGGGCTTGCATCCGGCCCTCCCCGACAAAGAGCTTCAGCCGATCTGTTTTTTGTGCAGAAAACTGGGAGCAGCATCGGTATCTTTTCTCCGTGAGGTATGTGAGGTTGTGGGCTTCTGGATACCTCATCGTAGCATTCTCGGAGACCCTCATGGACCCTCCGATCATCTCCCGAGGGAACATGTATAGCTGCCACCACATGACATCTCCAAACAATCCCAAACACAAGCAAGCCAGCCACCGCATGACATCCTTGCACAAAACTCCAGCACGGCAGCCGGACCACGTGATACCCTCGGGTTTCGGGATCTCTGACTCTCCCAGCCCACCCACCTGACCTTGAAGCTATTGGGTCGCTGCCTTTCAAATCAGTACAAAAGCGAAAGCGAAATCTTACTTCTGTACAAAATTGTAGAGGCCAATAGGCCACCCCGGACAGCAGGTCACTGCGCGGAGCCCCAAATTCTGAAGAACTCAACACCCCTTGAACTCAGCATCATGCAGCTGTCGTGTCGGTTCACGTTTGTCGTGGTTCTGTCGCGGCTCCCATGTACTTGGCCTGGAGCTTCCTTTGAACCGAAGGCAGCCACGGCACCCGAGCGCTCGGCGCCGCCCTGGCCCCAGCCTGGGGGCACAGACACGGCATGAGCCGCCCGTGGCGGGACCACCAAGCCGAGGCGAGGAGGTGCAAGGGGAGCTCCTCTCGCGGCCTTTTGAGCTCCTTCTCAGGATCCCTCCCTGCCAAAAAAAGCAGGAGCAACAGACTGGGCTCACACTCAACAGAAGGAGGCCCAGAGACCAATGATGCGGCTCGAAGAGGTTGCGACATCACGCCAGCGATGCATCATCCTGACACAGCCACTGCAAAATCACATGGCCGTGTATCCAATGCTCAGATGCCTCCCGATCAGCTACAAGGCTCAAGCAGACGTGCAGTCTCCCTTGTTAACGTAGCAAAAGTCTTCGGAGCTGCCATGTTCCGAATTCTCAGTCTGTGGTTGGTCTGCCAGCCGCTTGCTGCTTACAAGGTGCATTCTCTGCATGCAGGGGGGGTGGCATGCTCTGAGCATAGGAAAGCACGGCGCAAGTATGGCACAGCGTGGCAAAGCCGAACCCAAACGAAGCTCTGAGCGGGCAAGGTGGCCTCGGTCGCCACTGAGAACGCCAAAGCGAAGGATGCATTGTTTGTTGCAGACCTCGCCTTCGAACAGAAGGCGATCAGCCACGGCGTTTATCAGGGCATGAAGAGCCTTTGAAGCATTTTCCAGCTTGTTCAAGGTGTTGAGGTTTAGTGAGAGGCTGCACTGTCAAATCGAGAAGTGTGCCCCGAAGGCCTCTTTTAGTTTAAGCAGCATCAAACCCTTCCATTGAAAAGAGCTCCGCCCAATAATCATAGAAAACGGCTGCGGCTAGAACGATTCATTCTGCTGAGAGTGAAGGGCGTTTGTCAGACATTCTTTTGGGCTTCTCGCCGGACAGGGCTATCACAGACAGCTCGGACAGGCCTATTGCATTGCGGAAAGTTGTCAGTATTGTTTCACTATTGTTTCATAGGAGATCACAACGGGATCCAAAACCGGATGCAGGAGGGCTCAGGTGGGAGGCAATGGTTCGGCCTGGGATACGCTGGGAGGAGTGGAGAGGTGGATGGACAGGTGGCCCAAAATTCTGTACAGAAAGGCAGGAGTCCGCCTGCCACGTGACACTGGGGAGATACCAAAGCCGGAAGCACTCGTTCTCTGGGTGCGAGGAGAGGGTCTGAGGACGCTCTCAGACGTGGTAGTTCTGCAAGTGTTTTGCCAGCAACGCCTGTAACATCTTAGCAAAAGTGCAGCCCTTTCGTGCATGCTTGGCCTCCGGTTAACTTGGTGGGGTGGCAGCCGGTGGCGGGTTGCAAAGGGAAGCCCCAAGTGGTCTGGGTCAGGGTCGGCTCGCGGGTTTTGCGGGTGACTGTGGAAACTCGTTGAGGGTTTAGGGTTTAGGGTTTGGGGTTTGGGGTTTAGGGTTTAGGGTTTGCTGTGATAGGGCGCTGTGAAGGTTAGGTTTTGGAACAAGCTCGGAAGCTTCGTGAGGCGCGAAGAGCAGCTTTGGCCCGATTGTGGAAGGCCATCTAACATTTTTATCCCACCCCACGCCGTCCGAGGCGGCAAACCTATTCCTTTTAGGGTTTAGGCCTAAACTCAAGCCAACTGCTTACTTCCATAAAACTTCTTCATTGCCAGCCAGAAGGGTGGGGCCGCAGAGGGGCCCAGGCGGTTCAGGCCCAGGGAGCTCAAGGAGGCCCCGTCCAGCAGGTGGCCCAGGGCCAAGGGGGGCCCAGGAGGCTGGGGCAGGGGGGCGGCCTAGGCCCTGAGTTTAGGGTGTAGGGTTTAGGGGGTGTGTGTTGGGCACAGACGCGCCGGGCGGAGGCCTGATGATCCTGGAAGGGGCATTGGTGGAAATCCTCCAAGAGTTCGTAGGCCATCGAAGTAGTTGGGATGTCCCTCTTTTCTGGGGATCCGGATCCTTAGGCATCCCCGATACAACCAAGAGATTGGTTGGCGGTAGCTACGCCCATGTTTTTCCGCATCATATAGTGGAACCAAGTCCTTCGGGAGGCTCACACGTGGTTTGATCGTTGGGGCCACTTCATGGGACAAATCAGGGTAAGTCAATCTCCAGAGCTTGCTAATCACAGATTCGGTCGTCTCGAGAGTCGGGCGATCGGGGCGCACATGAAATCCACTCCCAACGAGGTAAGGCAAGAGAAAGAGAGCTCGAAGGGAATGAACACCATCAACATGCTGGTTAGGCGGTCATGCTCTCATCCTCAGCATCCGTGTTCATGTCGCGCGCACAGGAATGCCACCTTGCTGATGGAGGCGGCTCGCTCCGCTGGATTGCACTGGGACAAAGCAGATGCCCAGAGGCTCAATGGTGTAAAGTGGAAGATAACATCCCACAAGAGTTCAGATGCGGGGTCTTCGGGAACGTTGGGCCGCTGTGTCACTCTGTTGCAGGCACATTGAAAAAGTGGTTGACGAGCTGAATGCCCAGCTGTTCACTGTCGAAGCCGCAAGACATTCGGGATGGGGAAAAGGTCGGGAATACTGAATACTGTAGTGAGTAGTGGGACGAACACAGCTGTTGGGCCTGTGGGGTCTCAAACATTGCATTCCTCAAGGTTCCACAGGGTTCGGCGTAGAGGGTTGCCGATGGCCAGGTTTGAGCATGGGCAAGATGGCGGACCGTATCGGGTCCTTTGGCTGCGGCAATAAGTCGCAGTGCGATGATGACACGGAGGACACGGCCGAGGCAAGGACTTTCTGTCACACAGCTCTACAGGCCGCCCCAGGCCGTCGGAAAGGTAAGTGCGTAAAGTGCCTGCCAACGTCATCAAGTGTCATCTTCAGACTTCAACCCTGATCAATTGATAGTTCTTCCATGCCTTCGGATAGAGACGAATCAAGCTGCAGGCACCGAATATCGCTCTAAAGCGTTCCCTATGGTTCCAGCAAGGCTGTTTCTCATCCTCTTGCCCCAGGTGGTGGCTTCGAGCATCACGGCCACCTTGGACCTGATCTTCAAGTTCGCTGATGGTTCTCTCACTTGGCAGGATGCATTGGGGACCATTGGGTCCCCGCCCCAGAGGGATCATCAGAAAAGGCTCAGGCTTCCGCATTCCCTAAAACTCCAGGGGCTTGTGCCTAGGATGACGTGGGAATGCGGCGCCCACGTCCGGAGCTGCAAGAGGGTGTTGTGGTGTGTACTGGAGTGGAAGGACGACCGAAATCCGAAGAGCTGGCCTAAACAAACCCTGGCGTCACCATCTGACCCGATGGCTTCAGGATGACACCATGAACGAAAAGGCAACAAAATCCAAGCAGCAACAACCGCTTACCCCTGGCGCGAACCGGGTCTGTAATATTAGCTCATTGCAAATTGTAGACTGTAAACTCGCACTCCAGTCGCGAACCGGGACCCATCGCGATATCTGTAACATCAGCTCATTGCATTTGCCCGCGCCCTGGCGAGAATCGGGATCCATCCCGACGGCTAGTCCATCAGCTCATGGCAAGTGTAACCGCGCACTCCAGGCGCGAACCGGGATCCTTCCCGACAGGTAAACGTGCGCGTATATGTGCACCGCATGATCCAGTTGGCATCCGACAAGCACCGAGCACCCAGAGTGCAAGGAGGAAAAGGTCGGTACACGGTCATCACGGTCATCACGCGAACCCACCCCCCCACCCCCCCCACCCCCCCCCGGAAAGAAGCGTGGCGCTCCGAGTGAGCTTTGTGCTGATACCAAGCGATGCTCATCGTATGCTCGCTGGTGCGCAACTTTGGGGCCATCTCAAAAGCGCTGAGGCTAAGAGGCGCAGGCAAAAGGTGCCTTTGAGACACGCTGCGCATTCCTAAGATGCTTTAAAACTTTACAAACCGCTGAGAAAGATACTAAACATTACTAAACCGCCAAGCTAACAGCCGTACATATCTGTAGATGGCTATAAACGATAAGCGTTGAGCGCTTCTGCTCCCGAGCTTGGAGGGGCATCGCCTTGGACGTGGTGGGCCTGATCAACCCGGTGCTGGGTCAGGTCTTTACTGTGGCCTTCTCCTTCTTCACAGGCGCGCACTCTGTTGCATTCGTGTTTGTGCGCCGCTGTTTGCTTCTTTTCGCCTTGGCTTAAACTGGCAAGGACTGCTTGGTATGGGGCAGGAGTCACCGGAGGAAAAGCTGTACAAGAGGATCATGAAGGAGACAAAAATCATGATTCAGACAAGCTTTGCACAAGAAGAGATCGGGGCGAGGGCAAACGACATGCAGGTCCTGGTTGAAGAGATGCGCTGGGCCCCTGTTATGCTTGGTCAGGTCAAGAACGATGAGGACAAGCACACGTTGCTGATGTACTATGTCATGATTCAACATGATATCGCCAAGATTTCCTCGAAAATACTGTCCAGCAACTTTGGCAAGTCAGAAAGTGACATGCCCCCAGAAATGGACGAGGTACGGGCCGACTGGTCAAAGGCCATGGTCCCCATTGCCTTCTACATGATGCAGATGCAGGTTAACTTGATCTTAGACATCAACCACTATGTGGAGGTCGAGGGTAGAGTCGTGGCGCACAATCACACGACCGGCCTCCTCGAGAGGTACAAAGGCTTCTTCGAGCAGCACTTCCCAAAGATCGAACGAAGCACAAAGTTAGACATCGAGGACCAGTTGGATTGGAAAACCCCAGGGTGCGAACAAGCTCGAAAAAGCAAAACGGAATTCTATCGGCGCAGCACGGGCAAAAGCTGCACAGTCAATGGGGTGGACGCATGCAAGGAAGAGCAGTGCAGCTTGAACTTCGCAAGCTGTCCGGCGATTCCGTGCACCTCGTATCACATGAACCGGTACTTGGAGAAGCAGCTCAATGACATCCAAAAGCAACGTGCTCTTGCAGCAGAGCTCTACGACAAGAAGCCGAAGGAGGCGTCCTCAGTCCCTGATCTTCACACTTCCTAGGGCCATACGGGCATATACGGACATAGCTATCCAAATCAAAAGGGGTAAACCAGCCATGACAGCAGGGGGCACAGCACGACGATGTTTCATGGTCTTGGCTGTGCGTAACACAGAGCCATGGATGGCAACAAAATGTGTACCCGATTCAAAAGTGTACATCTGCACATCACCCTGTGGAATACCAGTTGCTATGTTGTTGCTTTAGCAAGAGTTAGATGAGTAAGTTGGGCTGAAGACAGACTTGTGACCAAAGCACCTTCGTTGTTGCGTCCTGCAGGGTATCTCCTTCAAGATGCTCGAGAAAGGGGCCTACTGCCGTGATGGGTACATCCATGGCACCTACAACCAAGAAGGAACCTTTGCAGATCTGGAGACTTGCGCGAAGCAATGCGAGTCTGAGGATTCTTGTTATTTCTTCGCCTTTGCAAACGGGCTGACCTGTTCCAGGCTAGGCCAATCCTTTACAGACTCCACGGATCCTGCGTTTCTTAGACGTTTGTTTATTGTTGCGTCGTTGAGATTCTTTTTCGCGCATCATAGACTCTCATCCAGGCCCTGCGTATGATTTTGCAGATTCGTGCGCGAGGTACTCCATCCAGAACGACGGGTGCACTCATCGTCACAGTCATTCTGCCCACACGGTCTACGCCAAGGCCCTGCAGGGATCCTCAACCCATCTTTCTGAGAAGTTGCATAGAGCCGGGAGCCCCAAACCGGATTTGCACCCTTTCACGGCAACTTCGAGAATCGCTGTAAACCCCTCAATATGGTCAATCTGATCCCTGAGATGCACACACCGTTCAAGCACTTGGGACGTGGCTACTGCGCCAAGGGCTATTTTGATGCCATCCGGGGCAGTGTAACCTACGACAGTTGCACAAAGGCGTGTGAATCCGACAACAGGTGTTGGTTCTTTGCCTATGACGCCGGGCAGAACTGTGCCATGTATGACAGCCGAGCTGACGACTGTCTGCAAAAGACGGATGACCCAGCGTACGTCAGCTTTGAGAAGACGGCGAAGGTGTGGAAGTGCGAAAACAGCCGTGGGGTGGACATCGGAGACCATTTCATTCAATTCGGGTCATGGCGCTTGGCTCACATGGATGATGCTCACTTCTCCATCTCGCACAGAGAAGGCACAGAATCATGTCGGGAGATGCGGTAAAATCGCGGCCTTGCTTCCTTCAAGCACTCAAGGGCAGTACTGTCAAGTTCTGTGCTGTGCAGTTGCCGACTTAGTTGTCATACCTCCTTTTGCCAGGCCAGACCGCCATGATTTGGCGTTGGGACCAGACCCTTCATGCTGGACCTCGAACTGCCTGGGGCTCATGGCAGCGTGCCAGTGGAGTCAAGCTGGTGGGCCTTGACATGGACACTAGCCAGCAAAAGGTGGCGTTTGGGAACCGGTTCGTCGAGATCGGCAGGTGGAGGTTTGGTGACAGCGGCGATGGCGAGCACTTCTCCATCTCACAGAACCAACCCGGCCGGTCAATGACAGTTGTTCAATCTTTCGACCAAAATGGACAGCAGAAGACCCAGCAGAAGGGGGGAGAATACTGGAAACTTCGCACGGGAATAGCGAAAGGTCTTGGCGTGGGAGACGGTTTTATTCAGCTTGGGAGCTTCCGCATGGGCGAGGCTGATCCTGATACCTTTGTCGTGTCCCACGTGAGCGGAAAGGACCTTGCGGTGTACACCAGTGACGGACGGCACTGCTACGGCCCGGATTGCCGCAGCACTCCAGCAGTTTCCCTGTGGTCGCGGCCAATTTGTTTGGACAGCGACTGAGTCTCACCACAAAAATGCGCCACGGCGCGTCCGCAAAGCAACATTCGTCAGCGAAGCGTTGGAAGCGTTGGCTTCATGTTCATTTCTTTCTTGTTCCATTGTTTCGTCGGATGCGGTTGGCATCTGGCAGCTGGAGGAAAAAGCCTGTGGAGTGTCCCAGCAGTGCTGCCAGCCGGGTTTGCGTAGCTCAGCCCCACATGAACGCCATTTGGTTAGGGAGCCAACGCTCCCATAACACAGCCTTATCCATCCCCGACGAGATGGGGCGGGACAACCTACGAAATCCTCCCCACAAGTCGATGATGGAATTGTTCTTTTTGAGAAATTATTTGAATATCATTTCAAATTTTTCCTGATTCATCCCTATAAAAGGCTACGGGCTCGACCCCTATTTTCGCTCTGCGGCCGCCCCGTCGGATGCCCCGCCTCCTCTTCCGGTCCATTTGGCTGCTTGTGAGGGCCTTGCAGGGGGATCCTGAAAATTCCGGGAATTTTAACACTTTTTGTCTAAAAATCCTGGGAATTTTGGGAATCACCCGGAGCTGAAAATTCCCGGAATTTTAGGAATTGTCCGGATTGAGGTTTGGGCTTGCCGGGTTGGATTTAAGGTTCCAGGGCAACAATGATGACGTGGGTGCCCCTTCACCTTCAAGGAAATCTTCAAGGAAATCTCTTGGTCCAGGGTAGTTCCGATGACGGTCGCCGCCCGCCAGCTGTTCAAGGGGGTTCGGCCTCACGATCACATATTAGCAACAGCTCTCGAAAAATCCTAGGAATTTAAATTCCGGGAATTTTCGGGATCCCCCGGGTTCAGGGTTTTACGCTTTACGGTGTAGGGTTTTGGGGTTTAATAGAAATTGTATAGGGTTTGTGTCCGGAGTTTTGTCGTGTTTGGGGGGGTTTTGTTTTTTGCTTTTGCTGTAATGGTTTGGGTTCTGTCGGGTGTGGTGGGGGGTGGGTGGTTTTGGGGTGCTGAGGGGTTGGGGCTGAAAGGCTGGGGTTTTGGGGGGTTTTCCCGAATGCCCGTAGTGGTGGTCCGTGGTTCTGTGGTGTTCGTCGTGGTGGTCCCACAGCGTGGTGGTGGTCCCGTGGTGGTGGTGCTCCTTTGGTAGTGGTGGTCTGTCGTGGTGGTGGTGGTGGTCCCTGGTGGCCGTCGTGGTGGTCCCGTGGTGGTGGTCCCATGGTGGTGGCCGGGTGGTGGTGGTCCGTGGCGGTGGTCCGCGGTGGTGGTCTCGTGGTGGTGGTTCCGTGGTGGTGGTCTTGTGGTGGTTGTCTCGTGGTGGTGGTCCCGTGGTGGTGGTCCCGTGGTGGTGGTCCCGTGGTGGTGGTCCGTGGTGGTTGGTCCGTGGTGGCGGTCCGTGGTGGGGGTCCGTGCGGGTGGTTGTGTTGGTGGTGGTGTCGTGGTGGTGGTGTCGTGGTGGTGGTCTTGTGGTGGTGGTCTCGTGGTGGTGGTCTTGTGGTGGTGGTCTCGTAGTGGCGGTCTCGTGGTGGTGGTCTGAGATTTGGAATTTTCTTTTCAGGAATGCCTGAAAGGAATACAAGAAAGGAATACCTGAATCATTTGAATTTCGATT